CTGCTTGTCTGCTTTGTTAGATATTGGTGAGTGTAATCTTTTTTTTGGGTAATTTCAATCATTTAAATTTACTGTTTTGCCCTAGAAAATCCATCTTATAATGAAGATCCTAAGTATTTATACCTGGCACCTCCTATATGCATATATACATACATCTTTTCACTTTTCTAAAACTCAATTGCAAACATTCAATGCCGTTGAAGATTGATAAAAAACTAGAGACTCCGAACTATTTAGTAGATATGTCTGCACAAGATATGAACAAAAGATGGCACAAAATCGGTGAAAGGAGATGGTTTGTCTCATCAAAAAAACGAATGTGAATGACAGCTATCCAGCTTGCATGTTACAACACCATAAGAATTGCAAGACTCTGTGAGCGTTTGAATCTCCTTTCTGCAAACTCAGGCTTGCATACTTTAAATTGATGTTTGCAGAATCAAGAAGCAACTACTTGTTGCTTCTGCATTTGAGCTTGTAAACTGCAGTTTATGGTGTTTCATGGGTCTCTCAACAGGGACCCAAACATCTCAAAAACAATGGATCAACAGACCAATTGAGGAATTTACTTGAAACTCAATTTCCTATCTTCAACTTGGGGACAAGTCATCTCAGTGTAATATAAGAAGTCCTCATAGACATATAGTAAGTTCAAAATATGAAGATCGGAGAAAGTGGTCCAGGACCAGAGTAATGGGATAGGTAACATAGTGGGGAGAATGGTTAAATGGCATGCGGCAGTGGTGGGAATACACTTAACAACCACTAATAAGCACTAACACTTACTATGATTTCACCCTTCCCTTCATTCACGAATGCTTCATGATACTACGATTTCACTCTTCCCTTGATTCATGAATGCTCCATGATAATTAATAACTATTTCCTTTGTAGTATTTTAAGTGCCCACAGGTGTTGATAGGGTCAATTCAGAATGTCCGTTTCGTTGTACTGAAGGAAATTCTCCTTGGCTGCTAGTCCCTCCATTTCAGAATACATCTTGTTGGAGGAATTTATTTGTTACATTTCACTACCTCCTGTCCTTAATCCTTAATATAAGAGCTAATTTGACTTTTAATTTGATCCTAGATATAAGAGTCCAATCCACTTTGTCTCTCATATTTATCATTCTTTCTATAGTAGTCCTTATAATAGTTGCACATATTAAATGCATCATCAAATAGTAGTTCTAGCTGATACAAATGATTAGCAAGGGTATTTTTAGGAAGACAATACATATTTATTACAAACAACTAATTTAACTAATTTTCTTAATCTGCTTAAATAGTATATGTCTTTTTTCAAAGTTTAAAGCAGCATTTATCAAAATTTTCACTATTATACCTCTATTTACTCCAACAACTTCAAAGCAGCATTTATTAAGCTTTAGGGGCAAATTTGCCAATGTAGTCAATATTCTTATGTATTAATTGTATTTCTTACCTGAGTGCAGATACCTTTAAAGACCTATATTTTGAAACTGAGGGAATAGTATTTAAGAGAGTGAGAGTATTGCTTCTCTAATGCTAATAGATTGCTATGTAAATATATATATATATATATAATTTTTCACCTTAGCCTTTATCAGGTTTAATCATACTGGCTTGGTTATTTCTTGGAGATTACTTATTTAAAGGGTTATAAATAGTCTTCTCAAAGACTTGTGCCTTCATTAGAACAATTACAATTATAACTACAATTTCTTTCTTGAATGTTTTGGCTTTCTGGTTATAAATAAATTCTGTTAGTCTCACCCGGCGTTTTACAAGGGCAATACTCATACAAAGTTGTTTACTTCAACAAGATAGCATATATGCGGTAGAAGCATCCATAAAAAAGCCGAATAATTGGTTGTTTGTTCAGTTCCAACAAATCAATACTTTGACAACGGTTGCTGCAGACTGCAGTTTAGTCTCTTGAAAAAAAAAAAAAATTATGAATGGATGGTCAGCTAGAATGAACTGATATCACCAAATGTGTCAGAAGAATCAATAGGTCCACAACACTATGGATACGAGAATGACCGATGTAATCCAGCAAAGCATCACAGCAGTCATCTATCGTCCAAAAGTTTTGACCTTATTGGACGAAAGAAGCGACAAGACACGGGATTCTTTTTTTCCAGCTTACAATAAGCACACTACACCCTTGAAAATGGCAGCCACGAATGTAATAAACTCATCAGTAGTCGCAATCGAATCCATAAAAATGATGGAGCGAGGTGAACAGCAAGGGAATCATTCAAGCACATTCCATTACTAATTAGAACAGACAATTCGGAAAAGGGTAGAGCGCCACAAAATTAAATAAAAAGCAAATGATAAATAGGAGATGAGTAATCCAGATTAAATTATGAAGAGTAAATAATGCCCGTAAAATTCAGATGGAAGAAATGTAACAATTTTACAAGTAGTATGAAAGGGTGCAGACCATGCCGTCTTCAACCTCCTCGGGCCCGGCAGAGCCGGCGCCCAGCCTGGCTCTCTGCATAGCTTTATAGGCTTGATTTTTGCCCATTAGGTTAGAACAGATAAGAACTGAGAAAGAAGGAATTGGAGAATAATATAGACCGCTATGATTCAATTATCAAGGGTAGATGCAGAACTAGAAGCCCCATGCCATGTGCATGGAGATTGCAGACGAGGAAGAGAGGAAAGTCATGGATTTTTGGCGTCGGGTATTGGCTCACCCCAATCGGTGAGAGTCGGATGAGGAGACGGGAGAGTTACCCAGGGTCAAACGAATCCAATGGATTCCAGACCCCATGCAGTTGGATTTATATGGAGATCATTTTTTGGCCGGTTGGTGATTCTAAGTTTCAAACGAATCAGGAAGGGACACAGTCCCGGGACCTGAGGCATGAAATCTTAGGAGCCGATTTGTGATTCAAGATGGGTCCAATAAAGTTTGCTCAATTTATTAAAACCCAAGAAAGTAACGAGCGGTGTGATTCAATTAAAAGGCCCACCATTTCCGGCCATTTTACCCAGACTACCTAAAAGAACGTTTCTGCTTTTGTTCTGCAGCCCAGGCCTGGCCCTTGCTGGGCACAGGGCTAGTGAAAATAATTAATAATTGCCCATGTGACAAATACTCCATATCCTTTTTTCTGTTCTGTCCAGTGACAAGTGCTACTTGTCCATGGGCTACATTTCTTACGCAACGTCCGTTATTAATTTGTTGTATAACAATATGTAACTGCTTGAAATATGTTATGGCAAGAGTTATTGCTCATAATAAAATTGTATTTCATTGTCTCATCAATAACAAAGCAATTAAATGGGTTTGTGTTCAGGCGGATAATGATTTCATTTTGCATGATGAATAACTAAACAATTAATTGCCACTCTTACCACTTTATTTGCTAGAGAGAGAAATATCGTTATCAATGTCAAGGCACTTAAATGCATTTACTCGGATTGATGGTTAATATGATTGTACTGTTATTTATGATTATAAGATTACCGACTTGGTCCCTTTTTTTTTTTTTTTTTTACCAGAGCCCTATTTGGTTATAATTTATAAATTATAAGTTTGTAACGCTCAATAGGATTATTCACTCCAGACAGGGGAAATGGGAATTAGATTATTAGAGGTTTATATGCCATAGCCAAATATATTCTCTGCCGTTTCTTTACCGTCTTCCTTCCTCATCCTCATCGCTGGCTCCCCAACACCGCCACCGACGTGTCCGTTTTGGGTCCGCATGCCCTGCTCATCCAACCCATGAGCATTCCCAAACAGCATCGTTTGGAATGAGACTAATCCCCATTTTCCCCCCCAGATAAAAAAGATATTTTTTATTTTTTAGAAGTGTTCAGTATTTTAAATTGATTAATTTTTATTACATTTAACACCTTAAAATATGTTTTCATAAGTGTCTAATATTTTAAATTTATTATTTTTAGCGCATTTAGTATCTCAAATATTTTCAACAGTATTTATTATCTTAAATTAATTAATTTTTAATGCGTCTAATACTTTAAAATAATTTTTTTCAGCACCTTATGTCTTAATTAATTAATTAATTTTTTGTGTGTGCACATGCACTGAAAAAAAATATAGAAAAATAATTAAAAATAGGCAAAACTATAAAAACCTGATAAAATGAAAAAATTATAAAATCTTATTAAAAATCAATTAAAATTATAGAGATTTCAAAATTAGTTTTTTTAAATACATGATAATAAAAACTGAAAAGATGGATAAAAGATGTCAAAACTCAATTCAAAATTATTTTAAACAATGTTAACAAATCATAGAAATTTATTAGTTAACTTCAAAAAATTATACGACCTCCAATTCTAATTATAAGATCTCATTTATAGTTTATAAACAAAATTTTATAAATATGATCTAAAATAGTGCCTCGTTTGTCAAAATGAAAAATGCAATGATAACTCGTAAATGCTGAAAAATCGGGTTAGAAAAAATGATAACCTTGGTTGACAATCATTTAAAAGAATTTGTTAGAATAGTTATATTAAAATAATTTGAATTTCAAATTGAGATTCTCATTATTTTCACTTATGTTTTACAATTATATTTTCAATTTTTACAATTAAGATCTAATTTTTAAAATTTAATAATATTTTTCTTGTGGTTTGAAATTTTTTGTAAAAATTTCGGTACTGATATTAATTAAAAATAATTAATTAATGTTCACTTTTTTTTGGGGAATAATTTTCAACAGATCTTTTCTGTATTTATAATTTACAATAATGTTTTCTAAAAATAATTACGATCACAATTGCTTTCACTTTCAGCGCTACGATGACAGTTGACAAGGCACAGACACACAGTGTAAACAGCTCAGCTCATCTTGATCCCGCCCTGCCACTGTCATTGTCACCGTCAAGTTCAGATTTTAACGCCGCTCACACTATTAGCCTCTCTGTACACTGCTCGCACGCTATCCCGTGAACGGGGAGAGTGATCCTAAAAAATTCAAAATCTAGTCAGAATCTTCTGAAATTACAACATGTATATGCATGCATACAGGAGGGGCTCATATTACTGGCATTTGCCAATTGCTACCCATCATCTCATCAATAATTGAACAATCTCGCCATCCATTAACTACTAGTACAATAGTCAGCTCCCGAGAACAGAAAGAAGAGCTGAACTACCATTCTTACGGCTCCTACTGTTCCGTTCTCCTCCCACTCCGCAGTCCCTTCTTTTATTTCGTGTTTGCGTAGAAACTCATTTGAGCTCCATCGCGCCAGCAGGCATCTAGTAGTATCACTTCACCACCATGCCCCCCGCCTCCGAGGTCATCTGTCTCTTCTCACTTTTCTTCTCCCTCCAACTCCCTCTCACTCTCTCTTCCTCCGCCTCTCGCCGGATCCTCCATCAGCCATTCTTCCCCAAGCATTCTGTCCCTCCTGACTCTTCGCCGCAATCCCAACCCAGCACGATTCCCTTTTCGTCTTCTTCATCATCCTCTCCAACTCCGAGTCCAACACACAGGACTTTTTTCCCTTCTTACCATTCCCCACCAACCCCTGCTTCTCCCTCTGCTCTCTCCACATTTCCTGCCAACATCTCCTCCCTGCTCTTCCCCCAACCCTCTTCCTCCCACCGCCACCCTGCCCTTGCCATTGCTGTCTCCCTGCTCTCCGCAGCTCTTGTCGCCCTTCTTGTCTTCTTCATTTACTACCGTAAACGCACCACTCCTGACAAGGTTTCACGATCTAACAGTCTACGATTATGCCCTCCAAACACTCTTACTTCCGATGGTATTGGTAGTCATAAGCCTCGCTCAAAATCCTGCACCAGCGCGGGCACCAGCTCCGAGTTCCTCTATCTGGGCACTGTGGTAAATTCACGAGAAGCTTGTGGTCGGCTGAGTATGGGCCCTTGTGCTGCACCATATCAAAGACTGGGGTCGCCCGATCTCAAACCGCTTCCGCCATTGCCGCCCCACAGAAACAGAGGGACTGGCGAAGATGAGGAAGAAGAGGAGTTCTTCTCTCCAAGAAGGTCTTCAGGCCGCAGACTGAGTCCAGTGCGTACTGGGTCAGGGAGAGTGCTCCGGTTGGGAATGGATAGACTTGGGATTGGGAGTAGAAGCTTCAATTCAACAACACCCCGCGCTTGCTCAAATTCTGCATCGGCCACTTCTTCCCCTTGTTTGAATTTGAGTCCCAGGCACTCTTCGGAGCCTCAGCCCCCCATGAGATCCTCCTCACCGTCTTCACCGGAGGTTAGTTGGAATTTTCTAGTGTCAGAACAGAGGAAGAATTCTGAGGCCAGAAATGAGATAAATGTTCCAATCGAGAAGCCCCCATCTCCCCCGCCACTTCCGCCTCCACGCTTTTGGGAACGATCTCCAAATAACAATGAGGATACTCGAAAGCCAAGGTTGAAACCTTTGCACTGGGATAAGGTTAGGGCCTGCTCGGATCGGGCCATGGTTTGGGATCAGTTAAAACCGGGTTCTTTCCAGTAAGAGGAACACGTTCACTTCACGTATCCCTGTATTTGTAGCCACCCCTTCTTTTCTTTTTCTTTTTCCTTTTCTTTTTTAAGCCAAATGATTTTCGCTCGGTTGCAGATTGAACGAGGAAATGATAGAGACGCTTTTTATGGTGAATAATACCGCAAATTTCGCTATCAGAGATAATGCTCGGCGTCAAATTGTTGCTTCTCCCCCCTTGGAATACAAGGTACTTGACCCTAAGAAGTCTCACAACATCGCCATTTTGCTCAGGGCACTCAATGTGACTATGGATGAAGTATGCGAGGCCCTCAAAGAAGGTGAAATCCTTTTTGTTTCACATGTTCACTTAATACTGATACCCTTGTGTTGTTCACTGCATTCCAATGACAGACTCCCACTCTAGGGCCTTTGTTTTGCCTTTTTAAGTTCTGTAATTTTATCACACTTAAATTTGAGTTCCATTTTGCTTCTGGAAACACAACATCACTGGATAACTTGTTCGCGTTCGACTTTTGCACTCTCACTTTATACTGCGCACTTCTCTTGTGGTCTCTAGCCACTGCCTCTATGTTTATTGCTGATATCAGCTTGATACAGTCATATCAAACGCCTCTTTTGATCCATAATATGCATGTCTGTCTTGTACAGCTATTTATAGCCTTGTAAACCTATATGTGTATCTGCTTCTTTCTCTCCGTTAGGCTTCAGATGCGCTTATCCGAATACATTGTGTTTCTATTTCAGTGATATGTTACAGCTTCCTTTTCTTGATAATAGGCAATTGGGATATGCTGGGAACAGAACTTTTAGAAAGTTTGTTAAAGATGGCTCCAACCAAAGATGAAGAATGTAAGCTGAAGGAGTTCAAAGATGAATCAGCCTTCAAGCTTGGTCCAGCTGAGAAATTTCTTAAAATCGTTCTTGATATTCCTTTTGCATTTAAGAGAGTTGACGCAATGCTTTACATTGCTAACTTTGATTCAGAATCAGAATACCTTAGGAAGTCCTTTGAGACTTTGGAGGTACAAATTATTTGCCCCATTTATTTCTCTCTCCATTAACAGTGAATGTGAAGTTGAAACAGTGCCCTTTCTGCGTTTCCACGTAGAAAAATTATCGTTAAGTTTTTTTTTCGCCCCGCAATATTTTGACAATTATATTCATAGAGAAAAATCCAGTTATAGTGGAATGGATTTAAACCCATTTACTGCTGCATAGATAGGTTTGTAAATTCTCCTTTTTCTGTCCGAGTGGATCAGTTGTGATGAAGATGAACTTCAACTGAATGGTGTTTTTTATTTTTCCCCCACAAGCCCGGGTCTTGAAAGAAGAAGTATGTTGCTAGCTGAAAATGTTTAAACAGAGTAGCAAATTATGCTCTATTGGTTCAGACAAGGAAAATTGTTCGGCTAATTGTCAGTACATACATATAAACGTTTAGTAACGGAATCAGTTATTTTGGAATGGAGGGTGTAAGCATATCTTTCAGCCTGTGGCAACAGTAGGGGTTAGATAAGTAAAGGTTCAATTGTTGAAAAATATTTTCGGGCGAATAAGGCTCTACGTCTGTCTATTTTGCCGTGCATCTTGATTTTTCTTATGCTTGAGTTTTAACATTGAGGATATCTTTCTACTTCTTTGTACTCGTCAACATGATCTGGTCGAACAGCCTTGATCAGTTGGTAGAAAGTTTTCAGACGTATAAATTTCCAACACTCAAGCTGATAGCAGTGCGCCATTAATGTTCTTATTGATTAAAATAACCAATTCCTTTCATTAGAAAAGAAATAAAACGGATAACCAATTCCATGTGTCGGTAGGTTGCATTTTGCACTTTAATAAAAGTACCTGTAGATCTCTTATTTCATCCTTTTCCACAGGTGGCCTGTGAGGAACTAAGGAATAACAGATTGTTTTTGAAGCTCCTTGAAGCCGTGCTGAGAACTGGAAATCGTATGAATGTTGGCACGAATCGTGGTGATGCGCATGCATTCAAGCTGGACACGCTTCTGAAGCTAGTTGATATTAAAGGGGCTGATGGAAAGACTACTCTGTTGCATTTTGTTGTGCAGGAAATGGTCAGAACTGAAGGTTCTCGAATATCCTGTGCTACTGATCATCACCAAACTGCTGAAAAGATCCAGCAGTCTACATTCCAGGATGAAGTTGAATTTAGGAAACTTGGACTCCAAGTTGTTTCAGGTCTGAGTGGGGAGCTCAGCAATGTACAAAAAGCAGCTACAATGGATTCAGAGATGCTTAGCGATGATGTCTCCAAGCTTGCCAGAGGGATTGCAGAAGTTGCAGAAGTTGAAAAATTGAATGGAGAATCACCATTGAGAGAGAATAGTGAAAAATTTTCGGAGGCAATGAAACGTTTCTTGAAGAAGGGAGAGAAGGAAATTGTTTTGATTCAGGCACAAGAGAAGAATGCTCTCTCTTCAGTGAAGAAGCTAACGGAGTATTTCCATGGAAATTCTTCCAAGGAAGAAGCTCATCCGTTTAGGATTTTTATGATCGTGAGGGATTTCCTTTCAATACTTGATCGTGTGTGCAAGGAAGTTGGGAAAATAAACGACAGAACTTTGGTTGGTTTCCGTCAATACTCAGAGCCTTCAAATCCCATCCTGCTACCAATGTTCCATGAGATTGTTGGTTCCTTGGATGATGAAACCTCCTCTCGCTCATCATAGCAATTGGTTGCTTTACCGCCTTGCATAATAAACTTATTCCTTGCATTTTTCCTCCATGTGGTCTACTTGGCTGTACTCAAATTATGAATGCCCGCCATCTGGAATTTTGAGTTTGTTCTGGCGTGTAATGTAAATGCTCGAGGTGAGAGCTAGTTTCTTGCGTCGCTGCACAGAGCCAAAATATAGAAGATAAACTGAACAGAATATGAATTCTGTTTGTATTCAATAATGATCAATCGTCTTGTACAGTCAGTGCTTACGTAGAGCAAGGACTTAGGCTTAAGATGACACATAAGCAAAGTAATTTGACTGTTCGACCAGACTTGCAACTGAACCATAACAGAAACAACGATTATTATTCTAATACGTAGGACTAGCGTTGCCTGGGTTCCGTCTGGAAGTGATAGTCATGTTCGAGTTTGTTCTGAAATATCTATATGGGAAAATTGTCCCCCAAAATTCATTTTTAGGACCTAAATTATTGATAAAATAATATTTCAAGGGCACCCACCAAATGAAAGGATCAGTGCAAGGGTGCAACTCTATTGTCGTCTTCTGCATGTACAGATATTAAATATCATGAAATGGACAATTTGTAGCGGACATCAGCAGAAAATGAAACGTCACAACTGAACACTCAATTGCATGGTCTCTAGTTGACCCTGATTTGCTTTTGACCACTAGATCACGTTCAAGCGGCCTCATGCATTATTCTTCAACTTCCAGCTGCAGAAGATGAGTAAGCTTTTACACCTTTACTCAGCAATTCTCATATCTCCTCTGCCCAACCAAGGGTGCTCGAAATTCAAATACATGAATAGATCTTAGATCCTTCCAACTCCAAACATAGCGCGGGCCATGACTTATTATTTGTCCTCTAGACCAACAGATAAGTGCATCACATCTTTTGTTTTCTGAAAAAAAAGCTCTGACCCCGATGAAAATCTCCTGATTAGACACTAAACTTGGAGTCTTCAACATCCATGCGTTCCAGCACCTTAATTGCTTCCTCTTCTGTGGCTGGAACAACATGCCGAATCCTCCGCCCACCTTTTATGGCCTCCGGATTCACAGCAAATGTGAGGTAGAATCTGTTGGATACCTATTTGACGCGAAACAGCATAAAGTCATTGAGTACGTGAGTTCGACGTGGTGGAGATATGTTGAACTCAATATAGTAAAATAGCAAGGGAGAAGAGAAGAGAAGACTAAGATAGGTATTCATTTTTTAATTCTATTAAACACACACACGGGCGCACGTGCACAGACACACACACATCCTGTATTATCTTAAACATCTTAATTTGTCAAAATAATACCGGGCCGGACAGGAGTTTACAGGCAACAAAGCTCGAAGCTTTCTGCCTCTGTTTTTTCCCCAAAAAAAAAAAAAATCTCCCTTTTAATTAACAACTCAGATTTTTTTCCCTTGTTAAATACTTCATCTAGAGTTACTTCACCTCACTGGACCGGAGCTCAGGCTTTATAACATGTGCAATAACTTCAACATTGACCCGAGGTTCAGTCAGGTTTTCACGTTCAGTGTATAGAACACACGACTTGAGACGAAGAAAATTTCCAACATCGACCTGCATCAGCAAGTTGTTATCCATTTTGTTATTTTCCACCAAACACTTACTACTGAGGAGAGAAAGCATAGAACCATGTGTGTGTGTGTGTGTTGTGTGTAAAATAAGTACATGACGATATAAAGCATTTTAATTTCACCTATGTCGTAATCAAAGAAAAAGTCATTCCACTGCACTAAGAAGTTTTACTATAAATTGCACTTCAGATGCACTTTCCAGAATCAAGAATATATATAATCAAGGAAATCTAGCTGTGATAAGAAGTACATACAGCATAATATATGACAATATAAGCATTTTAATTTCACCCATTTCATAATCAAAGAAAAAGCCATTCCAATGAACACTAAGAAGGTTTACTATAGATTGTACTTCAGATGCACCTCGCAGAATCAAGGGGTAGAGCATAACAAGAACCCTGAGTGAAAAAAAATAACACAAGTATAATTAGAACAAAAAGCATCTTTAATCTAGGTAATTCACGAGGTATATACTTACAGGTTTAAAGAAATCAACATGGTCAACTTCTAAGAAACGTGGTGCTGCACCGGCAAAGACATAAGCTGTTGAAAAAGCAAGTTCAAACGCCCTTCTCATCAAAAATCCTCCAAAAATGCGACCATGGATGTTTCTTTGCTGTGGCTGGCAGATAAAAGAGTTTTCTAGGCGAGTATCTTTCATCAGGATGCTATCTCTATTAGCCAACGCTGGCATGTCACTGAAAATACGCCCTTCAGCCAATAGTGAACAGAGCCTAGCAGTGTCTCCATTTTGAACATGATTATATTCTGCTCTCTTCAGTTTCCTTAGTCTGTTCCTCTGTTCTGCTTCTTCCCAGAGAAACCTTTCGTGCTCAGTTTCAGGTGAGATCTGGTTAATCAAGGCTGACTTTCCAGTGGTGGAGTCACGAGCCACAAATGTGAAGTTTGCTACAAGAGCTTGTGAGTCTGAGGTATCTGCATTCCCTGCCAACATTCAATTTCAGGCACAACAACCAACAACAAGATGTTATGCAGAAACCGTTGCAGATTTAAAGGACAACATCACAAGCATAATTTTATATAAAACCATAGTATAATAAAAACAGAACAAAAAAAAATTTAATGTGCTATTGTACATGACTTATGATATAAAAACTGGACAGATTTTAAGAGACAGGAAACCAATCCAGTCACAGTTGGGAATGCTCTCCTATTGTGGAAGAGAATTTTATTTCATGCTTGTTCATCTTTATTTGTTTATTATTTTTAGAAGCAAGTTAATAGCGAGTTTGTAAGAAAATCAAAGCTAAGCCGGGAGAAAAAAAAGTCCCTGGCAAATGGAGGATGTACAACATACCAAATACTAAAACGACAAACACCTTAGCTCCAATACATGGGCATGCGAACATGCTTCAGATTAACTATCTATTAGAACAGCAAACTCATCTAGCTATTACAAGGGTGACTTTTTCTAGTGTAAAGGTGCATCTAGCACCTTTATCTTATTTTTCTGGTGAACCTAGCACCCTAATCTTATTTATTGTGCATCTAGCACCCTAAAAATTAGGGTGCTGAATGTAACTAAAAAAATAACATAGGGATGTTGGATGCATCAGGAAAATAAAATCTAGGTGGTAGATACACTACAAATAAGATCAGGGTGCTAGACACACCTAGGAAATAAAATTTGAATGTTGGATGTACCTTTGCCCTCTTTTTTTAATGCCCAAAATGTATCAGTGCCCACTTAGTGGGCATTGTCATGAACAATCAAAATGCCTAACATACCAACTTTAATGCCAACTATGTAGGTTACCGCAGCATTATGGGAACAATAGAACTTCGCAAAAGTAGTATCAAATAATTCGGTAGTTTTTCAAGGTATTCATGAAGACTACATATGTAAGGAGATTATTAAAGAACATTCGTGATGCAAATTACTTATGTATATCAACACTAACATCTCATCTGTCTCATAGTACGTACTGAGGGACTGGAAAAATAAAAAGCATCAAAGGGGAAAAATCACATCCCAAAATATATTTAAAATGGCCAGAGGAAGCAGCATTAATTTTGTATTGAGCTGGTAATCCTATAGCACCTTGTGTTGACTGAATGAGTTCCAGTTGTATCTCCATTGATGACCTGCCAACCCATGTAACAGCACCGTCTATAGTCAAATCAATGTCAATAAGAATTGGTTTCTTTAAAACCATTTTGTCAACGGAAGCAGTAACCAATATAAGGGGTCTGGTTGTGCCATCTTCATTGCATGAGTGCTGTTCAAAAGAGAAGCGATCAATTTAAATGGCTTTTTCATACAAAGTTGGAACGACACAGAGAAGAAACATTTTTCCCCCTTAAAAAAAAAAAATCGTATTGAGTTGCTATATGATACTGTCCATTTTACTTGACAATAAATTGATGATTTGACAACAGCTGCCAAAAGGGAAATTGGAAATGAAAATTAGGAGGGAAAAAGCTTGAGGCATAGGTGTCCCTGCATTAAGGAAATGCATGTCAAACAACTGGAAAGATGAATACCCGCGCGAAGGATTTGCTTGTCTCTTACGCTAAAAGATAAGCTTTTTGCCGGAGGGCCATGAAAAACAATTCAAGCAACGTAGTTCCAAAGGAAAACCATAAGGACCTGACAAATTTGCCATAAAATTGCAGTAATATGAAGTGACACCTTAAATGCAATGGTTCCGGCTAGAGCATCAAGGTCCTCGACCAACTTCCCCATCCTAATTTGATTCCAGGGGTTCTTGTACTGCTCTCTGAGCACGTAGTCAGAAGAGAATTTGTAAAAAATACTCGTCCTGCTCTGGGAAGGAGCTTTGGCAACGAGATGCAATTGTGAAGGCACAGGAGCATTCTTTTCAAAGATAGTGGATCTTGCTTCCCACAGAGCCTGTGTGGCAGGTGAATGGTACATGCCCGGCCATAAACTAATGGGTTTGCGGTTAGATGAGCTCGCATCAATAACAGGCAGAGATGTCTTGGGGTTCGTAGAATCAGAATCAGAAGGTTTAGAATTAGAAGAAGTAGGGTCAGCAATTGCATTAAAAAGAGAAGCTTTGTAGGAAATGTTCCTGAGGAAGGTTTTCAACTGATTCCCCGAAGGTGCGTTGGCAGTGAAGAAGAACAAAGAGGATCTGAGAAGTTCCTTTCTCATTTTGACTCTTGGAGATTGCATAGCGTCGATCCAACACGACGATTGCACAGAAGGGAGGAAATGCCCTACCGGCGGTAAGTACTTTCGTTTTGGATATTGGTGAGCACCGGGGGTAAATACAAAATTCGGAACGAGGGAACTATATGGCTCATGGAAAGCTGGTGCTCTCCTCGCATCCGGGGATGTTTTCTTCGGTTAGTTAGAGTATAAATTTATTCTGAAAATTTTTACTTAAAAAAATTTTTTAGAACAAATTTATTTTAGAAGTTTAGAATTATAGTAATATTATCACTTATTATTAAAAATATTACTGTCAACGTAATTATTCTAATGGTCCACCTTAATTGTTTTGCAATAGGAGAAAATATTGATATGATTTTAAATTTTAGGGACAAATTTACTGAAAAATTTTTTTCGATATCCAAAATTTCTGAGTGAAAATTTTCAGAAAAATTTACATTTTAACTTTTTGTTTTAATGAAAGCTGAATTGATTTACGGGGAAATTTGGGGCAGGGAGTTAGGGATGTAGTCCT